TACAGGCTTCTTTTTATCTGTAAAAAAGATTGATCAGGTCAGAATTTGACCGTGACTGTTTCATCTACGCTTCAGCTCATGAATTGTACCCCCCTCGTTATGGCCACCAGGGACTTAATGTGACCTAGTTCGAACAGTTGGAGATTATCTTGGAACACTTGGAGCTGTTATAACATGTTCCTTTGCTTGTGTGTCTGCGAAGGCATTATGGCAGTTCAATATATCACTCGACTTAATTCCTGGTGGGGGTGATGAGGTAGCGTCCGCTCGTCACGCCGAAGAGCGGAAGGTCGCGATTCGATCCCCGACCGCGAATGACGTTGTCCTGTCACTGCGCCATTCTAGTCTGCCCCCTCGTAATCGAACCATTTTACATTGCGTCACGATGCATGTCAGTTGTCATCGCCTCGTACGGCCTCCTACAGTAAACTACTCCGTTGCATCACGTTTCTTGGTTTGCAGTTGCTTCACGCAGCTAACAACACTGGTGGAAACATTACGTTTATGTTTTGCGACGGTTAAAATGTGTCAATTCGACTCACAAGTTTTCAGCGACTCGGTAACGTTCGCAATGTTTACATTCCCACAATGCAATCGTGGAATGTCGCTTGACTACTAAGCTTCATCTGGATGTACTGATCTAAACTTACGTTGGTAGTAGAAATGCTACGTTCATATTGCCCCATATGGTTTACGTTAATGACAGATGTAATTAAAATAATTCAGAGAAGATATTTAATCCGAACGTAAACCGTCAACAAACTGTTATCATTTGTTTTCTTCTGGTAACGTTCGTCTTAACGTAGGGGGGCAGACACATCAATAGAACAGCGCGCCAGTTAGCTCTGTGCGAGCATTCTTAATTTAGGTCACCGACACCGTCGTTTGTATTCTGCCTTAAATAAATCGTAATTGTCCTTAGAAAGTATTATATTTTGGTATCTTAGAAAGAAATACAGTTCGCTCTGCCGTGTATATTGTAATAAAGAAATCTTTCGCCCTGAACTATTATAACGTTAAAGCATTCGGACGCAAGCGTCCTCGTACTTTAACTATAATAGTTCAGCGCAAAATGTGCTTTATTACTTCAAATGACGAGCATTTAGTATGTATCATCAAATCCTCATGTACCAAAAGTTCATAGGCCTACACAAGGTGTAATAAACGCTGTCTTTATCGAAGACCAATTCCCACGGAGAGGCCTTAACCTTCAACTTTTGACGAAATAATCGTTGGCAAACAGGCAAAATAACAGTGAGACTTACATAAATGACGCCAAATGACGTGTGTGCTCAAATGGAGCGCACATGTTCTTCCGACAATCTAGGCCAAAAAGTGTGTCACATTTAGTAGATTTCTTTTCAATATTTCTTAAATCACTTCACCAGCACTTTGAAAAGCTTAGCTTTGAACATAATCGGTCAAGCAATGACATTTGGACAGTATGCGAATGCTCTTGTGCTTATCTTGTCACAAAGGAACAGGGCAATGTGGACGCCATATGCTCGAGCTGATTGAACATATATCTTGCTCGACATGTCATTCTTAGTTAACAGGGGCGGTGGGGTAGCCTAGTGGTTAAAGCGTTGGCTCGTCACGCCGAAGACCCGGGTTCGATTCCCCACATGGGTGCAATGTGTTAAGCCCATTCCCGGTGTCCCCCGCCGTGATATTGCTGGAACATCGCTAAAAGCGGCGTAAAACTAAACTCACTCACTCACTCTTAGTTAACATGACAAAACCCAAATATTCGGACACATAGAATTAGATTTTTTTTTTCATGATAATATGAACATATTAAACGTGCTCAAAATAATCATCGACCTGCATGAGAAAACGTGAATGGGCAACGAGTAAAATGGCAATGGCATTGCATACATTATGTATGGCTTATACAATGGTCCATAAGTCACCAAACACCAAACTAAGCCATCTTTTTCAGGAGAAGCTGGGAACTTAAAATATTTCCCATCTTTTGTACATACTCTCAAGGATTACTTGAGCTGATGGTGGTTGAAGACAACAACAACCAAAAGTAAATCGTGCTTAGTGTTTGTTATATGTTTGTTGATTAACGCCGCACTCAACGATATTCCTGCTATAGAGTGGCCCCCGTTAATAATAACGGTCTGGACCAGACCACCCAGTGATCAACAACATCAGCATCAATCTACGCAGTTGGGATACGATGACAAGTGTTGACCAAGTCACGGCCTGACCACCCAATCCCGCTAGCCGATGATGGTTATATTGATTGTCAGGAACTAATTCTCTCAGAGGATCAATGTTTTGGTGCTGATTTATCCTACATCACAGAGCCTCCTGTGGTCTCTGGTGATCCCATACTTCCACACTCCATTGCAAGCACTTTATTTGTTATTCACACATTGTTCTTATAGTGTATACAATGAAGCAGACCAATTTCCTTCCCATGTTTCAATACATTTACGTTATCACGAGAAAATAGTCTTGAGAGATTTTCTGCTTCAGAATGAGAATACCCGCTGCTAAGGTAAACAGCTTTGATAGATAACATTTCACCACAAGGTATACGTTTTGAAGGTACATCCTTGTAGGTGTGCTTTCAGATATTCGTGTGTATGCCATCGTCAAATGACCCTCTCATGCCTTGACTGAAAATCTAAACAAATATGACCGATTGTTGTTTTTAGGTCATAAATTGTATTGACTGCGACAAGGGTGTGTGGCATTGTTTGCACATGATCACGAATATAACTTGCTGGTTCAAAATCACACCATGGGATTGAAACTTGATACAAATGGATCTGCGTGTCAAGAGCTGCTTCAGCTGCAACAACAGCTTCTGCGTTTGCCTGCCATGGCAACGAGGTTGCACACCGAACAAAGGACTATGTCGTATCGGACAGTGGAAAGATCATCCTACTTAAAACCGCAATTACTCAGTATGACTATATGACACACTAATGTTCATGAAGGCCAGACAAAGAAGCGTATTTGTCAATATTGTCCACAAAAGCTAAGTGTCGATAAATCTTACTCTCTTGTTTCAACAATCCTTGAAAATCAAGTTATCGACTTGTTATTGAATGAACTGTTGACAGTTAATCAATACATATACGTATCTGTATACTCAAGCTACTCCAGGAATTGCATTTCAGCATTTCTTCCCTAAGTGCATGGGTTGTGTGTCACCAAATCTCTCTAATCGTGATTAAGATCTAAGTTTCAAGAAATAAATATAAAGTTACCAAATCGTTTAATCGAGTATTACATATATATGTTACTTGTAGCATATTTAAGAAATAAACAAATGTATGCAAGGCTGTTAACCATGAACTAACTGACTTTCACTTCAACGGAGTTTGTAAAACTAATGCCGCACTCAGTTAATCTAACTGTGTGCAAATGATCGAGTCCGAAGGATACCGTACAATAATTGATAACACACAGTTGAGATATGATTACATGAAATGAACACCCACTCCCGTTGGTCGGGAGAATTGATTGGTTGCTTAAGACGAATTCCAATCCAGGGCCCTGTTCCTCAAAGCGATCGTAGCGCTACGACTGTCGTAAGTCTATGTTAAAGTATGGGAGTTACGATCATCTTAGGGTTACGATCGCTTTGAAAACGGGGCCCAGGGCCCTGTTCCTCAAAGCGATCGTAGCGCTACGACTGTCGTAAGTCTATGTTAAAGTATGGGAGTTACGATCATCTTAGGGTTACGATCGCTTTGAGGAACGGGGCCCAGGTCTTTACTATGCTCACGCACAAATACCACAATATACTGGAGCATATACAGACCATTTGTCGATATGTTGTCACATCAAAGACACGGGTACTATCTCCCATAGTACCTCAGAAGACCAGCTTCTGTTGAGTTCTGGTTGGTTATGTCAGTTAAGTATGTTTCACTAATGAATATGTGTAACATAGTGGACACTTCAGAAAAGAAAACGCACTTGCTAACATTGAAAAAGTTGACTAAGTTAGATGTGCATATTTCATTTAATTTGGCTGATTCAAGGATGTAATATAGCATACGATTGTCACATGTTCTACAAACATAATGACACGTACGAGTGTGGGCGGGGTGGTTGGGGAGGGGGAGGTGTTCCGATCTGGCGTGGCTACTGTGTGTTGTTATCACTACTCTACGCTTCTGGTACAGAGTGAATAAGGGACCGTTCATGATGTATGGCTTGGGGGATGATGATGACGATGATGACGATGGGTGAGGGGGTGAGTTTAGTTTTACTCAGCAATATTCCAGCTATATGGCGACGGTCTGTAAATAATCGAGTCATGACCAGACAATCCAGTGATCAACAGCATGAGCATCGATCTGCACAATTGGGAACCGATGATGATGATGAAACAAGTATAATGTGAATGACTAACCTAAAATTTATGTACAAAGTAAGTGTCCCCACACCCTGCATGTCATGTACAAAATCAATGACCGCCCCTCTAGTACATGTGTAAAATATTGATGACTACCTACCTCCCCATAACAAAATGGGTGACCCCCTTAAAATCATCAACACCACACACACACGCACGCACGCACGCACGCACACACGCGCGCGCACACACACACACACACACACACACACACACACACACACACACAAAGCCATAAAATGTTAACCCTCCCTAAGTCTACAGATCCTCAAGTAGCCAGCCAGTTGTGAAACTGTCAGTGGCGTATGTTGACATTTGCGTACACGCCTAGCCAGTAATAGCTTGTGATGAGATTGTTGTTTGTACTAGGCACGAGAGAACTGACTGCAGGGAGGATGTGAAGTAAGCACACCGCAGTGGGAAGCACATGATATCTTCAAAATCTTGCCCACTGAGGCAAATCCATAGTTTTAAACTATGTTCAGTCTATGTTCTTATTTCTTAACCTGTCCGCCTATCGTACTTTGTATGATCCTCCTTCTTCAACTGTCCGGCTATCAGATCTTCTCACTTAAAATGATCAGCACCATCCGCCAACACAAACAATAAGGGGAAAGTCTTTGACGATTTTATCTAAAAATCATTTCTACATTTTCAATGATGCATCTAACACTTATCTGCATCTTGTCACTTTATATTTTCACTACCTGCCCACCATGCACAATCTGACTAATGTTACAGTGAAATATACTAGGCCAAGAGAGGCCTCAAAACAAGACAAAGTCAATCATCTGTGGTGGAGCCTGCATGTAAACAAATATATATCCATGACCTAAGGCCTTGTCTTTGAGCCTTTAGGATCTGTCAACGTTAGACAAGTAAACAAAAATCCTGTGGTTTTCTAACAGGAACACAACCAATTACGAACCAAATATATCGTCGTCCAAAGATGATGGCAAAGTTGCTAGTGCCACTGTCATTGGATCCAAGACTGTTTCCTGAGGAATACCAAAATATACTTCATTCTTTATAGCAGTGGCCAAAGCTATCTTTGAACTATATTATACAACAACACCATTATAATAATGTCATCATCTTTCAGATTCCTTGTCATGATTTCAGGAACTCGAAAGTGTCTCGAGTCATTCAATAATCCTTGACATTTTATAACCTCACAACGACATGTGGTAGGCAATGCGACATCGTCGTGTGCTGGTTACCAAGCGACGTAGGCATAGCAGGCGTCACAAAAGCCGATGCTTTAGCTAAAGCAGTTCTTGGCAAACTGTTATCTCTGCTGCTGATCCGTGTAGATATTTCAAAAGATTTATATTACTTTTAAATATAACTGTATTTACAATGGACATGTGTAAAGTTGGTCTTGTCATTATATAACTGAGATATAGCCGTTGCGACGATGAATTTTAACTCAATCATTCTTCAAGCAATATCAATACTACGAATACACAAAATATCCTAAGGTCGTTTGTACTTTAGAAGCCGAACGTCGCTCACGAGACACGTAATGAAAATACATTTCCTAATACATACCACAATACAGTGTTCTGTCACATCGATCTAAACACCATGCCGCACACATAGTATTTCATCTATGGGTACATTATCAGGGCGTAAAAAACATGTATTTGTATACTGTTTCAAATTGATGAACGAGATACTTTCAATCAGTGTATAACACTCAGTCATCCGAACTAAACCACATTATGGATTTACTAGGGGACATCTGCTCTGACAAAACAACTGAATTTCCGTGTCAATATTGGCACATATCCTTCTTCTGGGTCTAATACCACTTGTGGCGGATGACCCGACTCTGTCCCTATACCCTTCTTACACCAGGTACATGTCCTTCAGTCTTGAAGATAGTAACATGTCGATTACGTCGATGGAACACCCGGATGTAGCTATCATGAGTGGTGACGTCTAGCACATCTTGGACGATCCTGTGGTATCTGAGGCGGGTATAGCGAGGTTTGGTGTTCTGGTATACGTTGAAATGACGACTGTGAGTCGACAGCTTCAAGACGTCTTGCGGTGCAGTTGCGATTGGCAGTATTCCGTTTTGGCATTTTGCCTCTACCAGTGAGTCGACAAACATATGACAAATTGTAGGCTTACGTTTGACCTTTAATAGTCATTGTCACTGAACATACGCATTTGCATTTCGCTTTTAATTTCCTTTCCATAACGTTGTCTTGCAGCCCTATAAGATAATAAATATGCTGTATAACGCTACAAAAGTTTAAAAAGGTTGCGCTAATGCACTACACAGCCAAATGTATGACTTCAATTAGTGACAAATATTGCATTGGTATTCAATGTCTCGAGAACAAACAAGATCAACATTGTCATTATCTCCAATGCATTTCTCGTACAAGAATCGTAAATTTTCCATCCAGAATATAAACAGAAAAGAACAGCAAGGTTTTTCACTGCTAATTATATGTACATTCTCAAGACGCGATCACACATTCAGATGCCTCTCACAAATGTAACGTTTGGGTACATTTCCTGCTTTGTCCCCCCACCTAAACTGGTCATTTGGGTCTGCAACGATAAAATCCTTATCAGTTCCATTCTTTGGGTAATCAGTACCCCAAGCAAAATACGTCATTGTTCGGCCATCTTTGAGCAGCCAAGTTCCTTCATTAGCTTCATCACTTCCATCAATCAGATATTTCTTCTGCTTACCGTCTGAGGAATAGAAAAAACAGTGTGTTAAATAACTGCTCATATGTGTATGGTCAGTCCTCAAATAACTTCTTTGAGTGGCATTATTAGAAATTGGGAACTATATTGAACACACTTTTCAAGGGCTACACGAAATTTAACCTCTTTGTTTTGCACTTTTTTCAAGCAGTTTCATAGCCAAAACAGTACAGCTATCATAAGTAACATTTTTTATATCGATTCATACTTTGTACATTTACCGAGAGTTCTATGTCCACAATAAACACACCATGGCTTATTTCCCTTGCAATATGACGTAATTGGTGCCAAACGTATTAACGAATGACGTCATTAGAGCCTATTGGACCCATTTCAAGTGATGCAGGTATAGGTGTGGTTCTAGGCTACTGTGCTAACCCCTTTAAGCAGTCAGCTGGCTTTGCGTACCGGTCAGTTCCACACTGTGATGACATTGGGGTTTGGAAAACGTATACATTGTACAAAAAGTGTTACCACTTAACCAAATTGTATAACATTTCAACATTCGCCTCTCCAGTAGTATCTTTTTCCAGCAAAACTAAAACGTATATGCACTCCATCTAGCTTGCCATCGGTGAATATGCCCACAGCGTTAGAAAGACACATAGGTATATAGACCCTACCCTAGAACTATATAAAAGGAAAGGGATGTAACGACGAAACCACCCCTCCTCAATGAAAGTTAGATTTCACCACGTAAAATATTTTTTAAGGCCCACTACAGATCGAAAGCTAGATGAATTTCCTACAAAATCAGCTAAAATGATCACAATGGGATCATTATTTCAAAAATTCTACGCCACGACTCACCGAAAACATCTACCTCCACAATTCCACGCCAAAATCATGGATCAGCCAGGACAGCGAAAACTCACATTTTAAATTCGTTTGACAGCAACTATGTAGGACTAGATTCGATGGGCAGCGGTATTCCAATTGAATGTCAAGGTCATCTATGGCCGACAAGTGAGTATGATTGCCGATGATTTTGGAGAAAATGTCTGCTTACTGTCGAGGTAATGATATGTAGATGTTGCAAAAAGTTTTTAGACCCGTGGAATACCGCTGCCCATCGAGTTTTCGCTGTCTTGGCTGATCCATGATTTTGGCGTGGCCTCGGCGGGGCCTTAAAAATATTTTACGTGGTGAACTGTAATGATTGAATAGGGGTTGGTTTACATCCCTTTCCTTTTATATAGTACTTGGGTAGGGTCTCGCTCGGGCAACACAAAATTTCACACTCGTTTCGTATAAGTCGTATGACACAATTGCTCGTGTAAAAATCTCTATTTAAATTATGCAAGATTATGGCCTAATAAAAATGAGCATCATATTAACAGCTTAATGATGAAACCTGTGTCTACATTTAAATTTCGGGCAAGTGAATTATTTTATGGACTAGTAACTTTCAAGCATAGCTAGCCCGACTGGCTAGCAAAATTTGGAAACTATGTCGCGCACTGGATGTTACACTGTGTATCATTTCTCATATCCGTTCGCCTACATGTTGCATACAATGGCATGTTTTAGAACATGTATGGGAAGCGTACCGTAGCAAAATATAGGGAGATAAAGCATAGGTGTATTCCAATTATTTTCTTATACATCATGGTTCAGATTACTTGCTGCTTTACGCTCTTTTCCAATAAACACACTTGGATTCCGATTACCTGCTTCTTTACACTGTATTACAGTGCATATATTTCTTCATACATTTTTATATTTTTCACAAATTATTCATAACAAGAGAAAATCCGTATAGGTGCAAGTCGCAGTGCATAGTGTATCTTGTTTATAGCCCCGCATGGCAAGCGCAGTAGTAGGCAATTAGCAAACGCGTCCACGCCAACCTTAAACTAATTAATCAAAGATGAAGTTATTGAGCTGTGTCGGCTCCGGCCTTTCTTCTCGGGTACATCCCTTGGTCAAGCACAGATAAGTAGTCCCATCCCAGCAGGAGCATGTCTACCACCAACTTAATCGTAATCAAAAATCAACTTTTGTTGAACAAGATCGAGATTACCATCATGCCATCCTCTTTGTCCTGTCATAAATGCCACGGTCAGATATTTTGTTAAGCAGCTGGCGCAAACTGACTGTGGCTACACCATAAAGAAAATCAAACCTTGTTAGGTAATCATCTTCTTACCACCTACCTCGTGTAGTATACCTTGTCAGCATAGGGTAGATAACGCATATGGAAACTTCAACTTTATAGAAACTTGATAATGACAAACGAGTAGAGCTGTGGGGTATAAAATCCTGGGTTCTTCCATCTCAGGCACACTTGCTTGAATAAACCCAGGAACTCACAGCTCTGCCTCCTTTCTTGTTTCAAGGTAACAAACATTTAAACTTAATTCTTGTTTATGTTTCACTTGTTATTTCTTTGTAATTATCGTCTAGAAAATGTTAGAGTTAGGTTAGAAACATTCCTACAACATTGGAGCACATTTTCATTGCAAATGCTAGTTCTAGATAACCGATTAATTTGTAGGCACTATCCAGGGATATTTATTTATGCACATTGCGTCGTGGGCTCCTCAAGTTTTATGTCTTTCGTGTACAAACAAATATTTCTTTTGTATGTTTCGACACACATGTGTATTCCCAGTCCTTGTCTAGTTTCATTCATGTTTGCCTGTTAGATCTGTATATGCAGGTTAGATTCCCGTTCAGTAGCCTAGATTCTAGTAGCTTAGTCACAAAAACAGTTCCGAGAGTTTATACAATCATTTCCAGCAAAGACGAAGTTTTATGTATTTTATATCAATGATATTCGTGTAGATTTACCTCAGATACGCGCTCACATGATAGGTATAACAGCCAACATTTGTGTTTTGATATTTCACCAACACTATAAGTATTTGAATAATGATATGTTAAACGTTCCGTTCCGCGTGCAGTTGTATACCGTACAGAACAGTTTATACGCGAATCACATTACCGTAATCAGTAGAAAATGGTATTGTCTACTCTTCACATACCAGAAAATATACATTCAAATCCGTGTAGTTTGCAAGTACAGTCTCCATTTCGTATTTATTTAGCTCCGTAATTTAAGAAATACGCGTAGCCAATGACAACAGCGCCATCCTAGTGCATTATTACATATTCAATTAACTAAGTTACTGTCTTGTTTTGTAAAAGCACAAAAATGTAGCACCACAGCATTACATATATTCTAGGTGATGGCTTAACTCCGTATATGTCGAAATTGCACGTTGCCAATAGCAACACCACCGTCGAAATACACTTTCGGTATTCACCCAAATAATTCATGATAAAACAAGCTTAAGTAGTAGTACTAAAACTGGGCCTTCTGTCCCCGTATTTACAACACTTTTATCTCTCTAATATCACTTACCGTATCTACTGAAATTATTGTATTGAGAAAATAAATGTTAACATTACAGTTAGAACGCGTACAGTCAATACCGGAGTTAAATGGTATATGTTAAATCTGAGCCCTTAGCGCCGTTTACCGTATTTGCTCAAGGTATGTATGTTGATAACGGAAATTTACTTACACTAGTCATAAATCGTTACCGTAGTTAATGTATTAAGCGCAACATACCGTAATAATCATAAATTCCTACCGTAGTTAACGCAATAGGCACTACATACTGTAATTGTCATAAATGGGTCCCGTAGTTAACGCATTAGGCGCGACATAACGTAATAGTCATAAATCTGCACAGCAGTTAATGAACTAGGCACTACATGCTGTAATTAAACTGTTGGGCACTCCACGCAGTACTTGTTCTTTGCAATTGTTGTTGATGATTAATTTATCGGTCAGGTTATGTTATTTATCAGTACCGTAGTTACTCAAGCAAATGTTGTATTATTTGTATTATGTTTCTGTAAGCAGTTACCGTACATATCCTGTTGTACCACACATTGCTTATATTACCTGACTTAGACTTAAACTGTATTAGGATATCATTGATTACTATTTCTATTATTGTATGTCATTATTATGTATGAATGGATGTATTTTGAATGTCATTCTGATTACTTGCTTCTTTAAACTGTAAGGGACTCAACACACCTTCATTCTGATTACTTGCTTCTTTACACTGTAAGGAGCTCAACACACCTTCATTCTGATTACTTGCTTCTTTACACTGTAAGGGACTCAACACACCTTCATTCTGATTACTTGCTTCTTTAGACTGTAAGGGACTCAACACACCTTCATTCTGATTACTTGCTTCTTTACACTGTAAGGGACTCAACACACCTTCACCCTGATTACTTGCTTCTTTACACTGTAAGGGACTCAACACACCCTCATTCTGATTACTTGCTTCTTTACACTGTAATGGACTCAACACACCTTCATTCTGATTACTTGCTTCATTACGCTGTAAGGGACTCAACACACCATCATTCTGATCACTTCCTTCTTTGCACTGTAAGGAACGCAACACCCCCTCATTCTGATTACTTGCTTCTTTGCACTGTAAGGGACTCAACACACCTTCACCCTGATTACTTGCTTCTTTACACTGTAAGGGACTCAACACACCTTCATTCTGATTACTTGCTTCTTTACACTGTAAGGGACTCAACACACCTTCATTCTGATTACTTGCTTCTTTACACTGTAAGGGACTCAACACACCATCATTCTGATCACTTCATTCTCATTCTGATTACTTGCTTCTTTGCACTGTAAGGGACTCAACACACCTTCACCCTGATTACTTGCTTCTTTACACTGTAAGGGACTCAACACACCTTCATTCTGATTACTTGCTTCTTTAGAGTAAGGGACTCAACACACCTTCATTCTTTACTTGCCACTGTAAGAGGCTCAACAACCCTCATTCACTTGCCTCTTTCATTCTGATTACTTGCTTCTTTATACTGTAAGGGACTCAACACACCTTCATTCTGATTACTTGCTTCTTTACAAGTCAGTATTGACTTTTCTCGTTTCAAGTGTTGTTTTTGCCTCCACGACCTTATGTAATTAGCTCACCTTTTTCTGGTGATTAGCTTCATTACGCAGTTGACACACCTCGTTTCCGTCTAATGGTAACTGGGGGACTACAAAGGTTTAAACACTGAAGTGCACCGGTTAACCAGATACTGGTAGGTACAACAATAAATTGTGAAATCAGTAAATGAAGAAGAAATTATGTCCAGAAACTGTGTCCATTTGTAGGGCTGGATATTGCCCTGATTTTCATATTGCGATATATTGCAATAATTTAAGAGATATTGCAATATATATTGTGATATATTGACTGGAAGGTTTCTGCCCAAGTGCGTACATCATAAATTCATAATAGCTCTCTGTGTGCAACATCATCTTCTCAGTTGCTGTTACACCAAACTTTCAGGCTCCCCGTCCCCATTGTGTATGGCTGTATGCCAATCGTTTACACATAAACAACATAATATAGAGCCTTAATGTGGAATATATCGCACCAACGTTTTGAGAACATAATGATAAAGGTAATAGTATAACATGATTTTCATAGTCAGTGTTGTTTGCTTAAAAAGAATGCACTTCAGTGCAGTATGTAATTATTGTTTCTGTATGTGATTCATTCAGAGTCAATATGTTAACATGACTGAAACAAAAACAAGATTTAGTGGAACTACTTGAGATTAAAATCGCATGTGACCTCCAATAGCTAAGATCCTTGACTGGAATGTCATTTTCTGTCCTACAATTTTTCTAAGACTCAGGCCTGTCTGATAAATTGATATCATATGCCCCATTATGAAACAAACAAAAATAACCAAATCATGTGAACTGTGAAATGGTCACTCAGAGCCAGAGGCTCTACTAATAAGTCCAAATAGAAATTGGTCCATTTCAGGCCACTTAATTCCTCAAAATGAAACCATTCAAACCCACAAAACGTAAAGTATTTGGTAGACTATTTGGCAGTTTTGGAGCCACTTATAATGACACTAACCGCCTCCGTGGTGTAGTGGTTAGAGCGTCCGCCCGGAGAGCGGAAGGTCGCGGGTTCGATCCCCGACCGCGTCATACCAAAAGACGTTAATATATGGTACTTGTTGGTCCCTGCCTGGCGCTCGGCTTTAATGGGTACAACAAGGACTGGTCGGCTCGGAGTCAGTATAATGTGTCTGAGGGGGTATTCATGCTTCACTGCGGCATGGTATCTCAGTGGGCTAGCACTATAAAACCAGCTTCAGTCCGGGCTAGTACAAAGCAGCCACACATACATATACACACGCATGCACGTCGTCATATGAGCGAAATATTCTCAAGCACGACGATAAACCCAATTTCGCCTCACCTATAATGGCACTTCCACTTGTAAAATGTTACATGAAACCAACAGAAATAAAAGTATGTTTGTCACTTTCAGAGCACATTTGTTTGCTATGGAAATCAAGGGCAGATAATTCAAATGGAGCTAACTCTGGATGACCCAATATATTGCCGAATCTGAACCATATCGCGATAATCGTATCGCGAGATACTGTAGCGGTATATACCGGTTTACCGGTAATATTGCACTGCCCTATCCATTTGCATACATATTCCTAAAAATTGTGAGTATGTAGTGAATATCAGTTACATGATAATTGACATAACACGTAAATGCATGTTATTCGGACAAGTCGCAAACAGAAATCGACAATATTAAAACATCCACCAGAAATTTATCAACATTTGTGTTGCCCTGTCTCAAAGATTAATCATAATCCTTAGTACTATCAAGGAAGGTCTTTCTAAAAAAAACTGACATGTTAACAATATCAGAAAGGATCGAGTTCCGTTCTGTCAAAAATTTGATTTTTACAGATATAGTTTCAGCAGCATTAGAGCTGCATTAGAGCTGTATAATGCTGTTTGTAACAAATCGAGTCTGAACCAGACAATTCAGTGAAACATGTGTTTATGAATCACTATGAAATAGTGATTATACCAGGTGTTCGCTAAATGGTTAGATTATCCTGCCCCACAGATGCGTGAAAACACATGCAAAGTCTAGTTAATTGTACACCTGAAATAATCGCATTTAGCGTTAACCCATCGCCATACCAAATGCAATTGTATATAAACATGACGTCATTACGAGGAGCACATGACGTCATCAGTTGCTACGTCAAAGCGGCGTTAAACCAAACAAATGTGTTTACAAAGGAGCAGTTACACGTAGTTGGCCGCATGATACTGACCTGATGAAGCGCTGAGTTGCTTCAGTATGTGGTCCTGTTTGTCTTGACTGTCAATGGCGATAAAGTGGTCTCCTCTTGAGTTACAATCAGCAACACCGTTGGTAAAGTCCAGGTTATTGAAATGAACCTCATAGCAGAAGTTAAGAATTCGATTGTGGACGTAGGTGGAGGGACATCCATCTGGAAAGACATGACCATTCAACAAGTTGACCATGCCCACAAAATAAAATATATTAGCCGATTAGCTACAATAGCTAGATTTTGGGTACTATCTCGACAGACACAAAGCTGAAAGTAGCAGTCCAGTCGAGTATTTGTTCAACGTTCCTGTTTAGAGGAATAGACATGGTACCGTTATTTCTATGACAGCAGCTACATCCTTACTAGGTATTAATATTAATGGGTACTTGAAACATTACGAATATGTCCTTTAAAAGGATAATTCATATTGTAAAGTACAAAATTACACATTTCATGCTTTTTGTGAAGCATGTCATCTAATCTGCAAACTATGTTTTTCCGTATTTCACTACCTTTTCATATATGCCACTATATTAGAGCTTTAACTCGCTCACTATATTACCATTGGCAATTTGGCATTAACACAATCATAACGGTATCCTCACCTGAAGCAATACTGTAGTATTCTGTACCTGTCTCCGGTTTTCCGTCCTGCGGCGACATGAACAACACATCATGGAACTGGCACCGTCGATGTTGCTGTCTGAAGAACACAGACACACAGGCCTTGTTTTCAAGACACATATTCAGGCAGGTAAATTTGTTTCCAATGTTTTGTACTTCTGATATTATGTTGGTGTCTACGAGAATATTTGTGAAGTTTTTCCACTTGGTTCCATATGCAGTTTCAATAACAGGTGATGCGTAGTGAACTATACACGTAAGAATGAATATAAATCCCACCATTTTCGAACTCAGACTAAATAGCAACTGTGTATATTGGACTGCCTGAAGCATCGCGAGCGTCAGTGGTTTAAAGACGTGTCTACGAGTTGACAAACATGTAAGCATCGATTAGTTCTATCGAGTTGATGATGGGCTCGGTATTTATATCCTCTGACAACCGACTGGATTATGGTGACTAAAACATAAGCCAATGAGATTGGCAAAAATATTTCTATCTTAAAGATATGTAAATTGATCTTTATTTGTGTTCAATATGTAGCAGTACCACGTGATGTGTTTTGAAGCTTCTTGAAGGAGGATAACATAACTTTGGTGAAGATTGAGTGTGATGGGTATGGTTGGTGGTCTGGTGATTAAGACATTAACTGTTCAATGACAATTGTGTGATTTTTAACTGAGAAACAGTTTGTCTTACAGCTTTATATGCAGCAACGTAAACTCCACGCTTAGTGACGCAGGGAGTCACAATCTTGACGGACCTATGACTTTGAGGTAATCAAACAGCCATGCTTAAAGCACAGCACGAATACAAGAAAAATCCCACTTTTCAAGTCGGAAGCGACGCTGTACTTCAATGGAAATAGACTGCCTCGATCGCCGAATAGTTATGTTGATGAATAGGGTAGGAACTTATGATAAAACGTGTGAACAGTAAAACAACCAAGTCGAGTTCCCCAAGGAAATCATTTGAATCTTTCGGGGTTTTTCTAGTTCATACGTTTACCATACATTTTCCATCGAAATATAGTTTTTAACATAATGATTTGAAAAATGGCTTTCATGAAAATGCCCTTGTTAAATGTGAATGCCCATGTTCACCTTGACCATAATTAAACATATGTAAAACCCGTAAACCGATTCGTTAGGACGTTAATCTGGCAATGATTCGTAGCCAGTAATGGTAAAATTCATAAAGGAAATCATGACTTGAATATTGACATCTAAAACCGTCAAATCATGTTTCACCATGATCCGTCTTCCGATATTGGATTGCAAACAAAGCAAGAACCGTCACACGGAAATAAAAAAGTGGGGTTCAATATCTGAACGCATTCATATGAACATAAGAAAAACACTTACATGATTGAAAATTGCAGTTATCAGGCTCGCACTTTGGATCAATATACTCCGTTCCGCTCATAGTTCCATTTTCTATTTTGGCAAATAATTATATTAAAGAGAAGAATCGCGACGCGGCATAACATCGTATTGTCATTACAACGCATTAGGATTATTGACCAGATGAGGCGTGATTTACATTTCATAGTCAAGGAATATCGTATCCCAGACAGCTTTGATTCATTTATGTAGACCACTCAGTATGTGTTCAATACCGCTAATAAAGTACATCCGTCTGTAAGGAAATATTCAGCTTATACTGTATGTATTCCTCATTTGAAATTAACCATTAACGGTCCATTACTGAAGACAATTCTAGCAACATAAAACACACCACATGAAATGACAACATTTCGTTCTTTGTCTATATAATGCTGAGCAAAGGATTTTTTTTTTAAATCCAACTGTAAGGCGTGAAAATATATCGGAAACATCATTAACCTACAAATGAGTTTGTTGTTTGATAAAGTGTGTTAAAACAAACAGTCTGTCTCAGAGAATGAAGCGAACCACGAACAGCACTAAGTGTTATACCATGTACTTCTACCTATACGTAAATCCAATGGTTCGTTAAGGTCTCTGTATCTAAGACAGAGTTCAATTGGTTACTAAACACTATTTAATGTTAGAATATTCCTGTGGAGATTTAGGGTCAGATCAGGTCGGCAAACGTTCGTCGACTACAATAACTTGACTGATTGATTGAATAAAACATTTATTGTTGTGACAGAATTCAATATTTGTTCATGGGACATCAAGCGATGGAATGTCAATTAATCAGGTGTGGTGGGAGACAATAATATTCCGCATACCTGTTGTCGTCATATATTAAACCTGAGTGTGTTCCTTGAAGCCATATTGAAAATTGCTGACGATTTACAGTCCGTATTGTAATTGTATTAAATGTGAGTGAGTGAGTGAGTTAATATTTAACGTCACATCGGCAATATCTCAGCCATATCGTGACGAAAACAATTTATACAATATAAAGAGAAAACGTTTTGAAGATTAAAACCTGTCGACGATGGACAGTAAAAATACTAGAGAATCAAAGATATGAATAAAACTAGCAAGCAAAGCTAAAATATTTCAATTAAAGAGGACAATACAGTATACAACACGGGCTATAGATCGCCAACAACTGAAGGCAGATCACCATTTATTAAATATGATATGCTATGTTGTTGTATAATATATGTTTTTAATATTTAAAGTGGTTAGTTTTTAGACATAAATTGTGATATCATGCTAATATTTTAGTGCCCTTTGCGACAGATATTAACTACTTGGATGTTACATAACTCTTCACTATATGTCCGAAATATTGCCGATGTGACGTTAAATTACAACTCACTCACTCTATATTGAAAACATGTATAACATTTCTCGACTATTTGTAATTAACAAAAGTAACTAAATGCGACTTAGGACATAACAGGCGTCTTCTATGGTTCATGCTACTATTCATTGCCCGTCACGACTAGGGACACAACAGGCGTCTTCTATGGTTCATGCTACTATTCATTGCCCGTCACGACTAGGGACACAACAGGCGTCTTCTTTGGTTCATGCTACTATTCATTGCCCGTCACGACTAGGGACACAACAGGCGTCTTCTATGGTTCATGCTACTATTCATTGCCCATCACGACTAAGGACATAACAGGCGTCTTCTATGGTTCATGCTACTATTCATTGCCCATCACGACTAAGGACACAACAGACGTCTTCTATGGTTCATGCTACTATCCATTGCCCATCACGACTAAGGACACAACAGGCGTCGTCTATGGTTCATGCTACTATTCATTGCCCATCACGACTAAGGACACAACAGGCGTCTTCTATGGTTCATGCTACTATTCATTGCCCATCACGACTAAGGACACAACAGACGTCTTCTATGGTTCATGCTACTATTCATTGCCCATCACGACTAAGGACACAACAGGCGTCTTCTATGGTTCATGACTACTATTCATGCTACTATTCATTGCCCATCACGACTAAGGACACAACAGGCGTCTTCTATGGTTCATGCTACTATCCATTGCCCATCACGACTAAGGGACACAACACTAAGGACACAACAGACGTCTTCTATGGTTCGTCTTCTATGGTTCATGCTACTATTCATTGCCCATCACGACTAAGGACACAACAGGCGTCTTCTATGGTTCATGCTACTATTCAGTGCCCATCACGACTAAGGACACAACAGACGTCCTCTATGGTTCATGCTACTATCCATTGCCCATCACGACTAAGGACACAACAGGCGTCTTCTATGGTTCATGCTACTATTCATTGCCCATCACGACTAAGGACACAACAGACGTCTTCTATGGTTCATGCTACTATTCATTGCCCGTCATGACTAAAGACACAACAGGCGTCTTCTATGGTTCATGCTGCTATGGATTGCCCAACCCTCAGCACCTTTGGTCTCAGTCTAAATATAACTGTGTCAGTTGAATTTTGTGTCATGATAGTTATGAACATACTTTAATTTATTCACAACCTCCAAAACATGGAAAAACATGTAGTTTGAGCAAAAGTATATATTTTCGCCCATGGGCGAGATTTGTTTAATATCGATGTAAATTAGCCGAAATAAGTCAAGATGAGTCGAATTTTCTGTCATGCTACTTATAAACATATATTCGTTCATTTACATCCTCCAAAACATGAATTCTGAGCGAAACTAAATATTCTCGCCCATGGGCGAGCGAGTTTAAATTGTTTGTTTTCGAAAAACAATTTTCATTTTTTCATCCTTATCATATATTTCATGACAGCTGCAATCCTTTGTCAGTAAGTGGCCACAATGCGGAGAGTTTCTGGACTTTTTTAAGTCCAGAATTAAACTGTGACGTGTTAACAACTATCTGTGCATACTTGATACATAAAACGTCATTGATTGTCCCTACATTCTATATCAAATAGGTACGTAGCCATCTTTTGGAGCACCTGCATCATCATTATATATTGTTAGTTATAGTTTCAATCATGTTTATTGTAGAGATTGACCTTAACCTTTACAGATATTCCAGCTATCACATCATGAAACAAACACTGCCCTGATTAATGCAACCGTTATGTGAACTCGATAATGAGATTTGTGTGAACAAATATTGATGAAAGCCGGGAGATTTTTTACGTCCTGTGAATACTTCGGTCCATGTAAATAGTTAATGATCTGATCCAGAAAGTGTGACATCTTTAAAGATTATCGGTCTGCCATAGACGTATCCACGAGCCAGAACATCCTCATTAACAGTTTGTTCAGAAAGTGTAGGGAGAAGGAATAAGGACAACAGCGGTAGACCATCAAACCAAAACCCGTGAAGATCCGGGTTAGAATTGGTCTTCAGCAACCCATGTTTGGGTTAGACGACTAACGGGATCGGGTGGTCAGGCAGGCTGACTTGTTGACACACGTCATCGTATCCCAATTACGTAGATGGATGATCACTGGATTGTCTGGTCCACACTCGATTATTTACAGACCGCCGCCATATATAGTATGACCAGAAATTATTGAGAATTTTAGGAATATGTTTAATTGGATTTCTAGTATAAAAAACCTTGACCAGCAATCAAGTGCTTGGTTTCATTCAAGAGAGACAACTCCGTTAATCCTTTTTTCATTAGTTTGTGAAGAGTTATCCCCCTTTGTTTACTTGCTAGCAGACGACATTTTCAGTGATCCTCAGTATGGATGATTTAGAGAAGAGGAAGTTGGATTTAGAGTATTATAACAAGGACATCAAATCAGCTAAAGTGATTTCAAGTAGAACAGGCTTCCCTTTGTCCACTGTTTATCGTGTTTTGAAAAATATTGCAAATGGATATGGTATTGAGCACCAGGGAGGCGCAGGTAGGCCCAGAAAATTGACCGTCGGTGACAGGAGGCGGCTTGGTATTCTTGTTCCTAAAAACAAACGAAGGAGTTTAGAAAACTTCAGGCTGGATATGA